AGCAATAGGCTGGGCAGCCATCCGCCGAGACGCTTGCCTCGCTGTTCCCGAGAATTCCCATGGAAAACCATCGCTTGCGCCTTTTATGTCCTGGTAATCGCGAACATATTATGCATCCTTGCCCACTTCTGAAGAGACAAGTAATTAGTCATCACATCTTTTGGGACTGCACATAAACTCCAGTGTGTTTTCCAGCTCCGTCTCCCAGAGAATGAAGACGGATGGCTCTGCGTCGAGCTGGATGGCTCTGCGTCGAGCTACACTTCCAGCAGCAGGAAGGAGCTAAAAGGAGCAATGTTCTTCCTTCAGACCCACCACAAAACTCCTTTAACCCACGTAGGAGCCTTCCTAGGCTCGGAGCAAAAACCAGGGCCAGTTATTACTGGGAGAGTGTCCTAGCCTTAAAAGCTGGAAGTTAAACCTAGCTGGGAAGCTGGGTGTGCAGAAGTGGCTGCTGCAGGGATTTGTGTTGGGTATCTCCTTGCTAAAATTACAGATGGGGAGCAGCGTGGGGTGAACTGAGGTTTATGGTGGTAGGGGAGAATAATGTAGAATTTGCTGGAAAACAGCAAGCGAAAGGCATTCTGGAAACTGCTGCCCGCGGATTCCCACCTCGGAGAGCTCCCGCTGACACCGTTAGGGATGCCCGTGCTGGGATCACGTGCATCTTCGGGGGCACAGGTGTTAAACCTGTGCCCGAACCTCTGCAAAGTTACAGGCTTTGCTTCAGAGGGCTTCTTGGGTGCTCTGCATTGCTGGGACAACAAGATCATCTCCGGACACCTACCTGTAGACATCCCCAACTCCGCAGTGTCATCCGTCATCTTAAGCATTTTATCACTTTTTTTTCTTTAAATAGGGAGCTTATGAATAAGCAGTTTGGGGGCTCATGGCTTTAATGTCATCTGGTTTGTCATTGTCAGACCTGTCACAGAGTCTGAGCTCATCCTTTTTTTGCTTTCTCCTACACGGGCCACGTAGCGACAGCGTTACTCCATCCGCATGGACGGGATGCATTCCCAGTACATTATATTCCCTGTATATTCCCAGTATATTGCTCCTTGTACCAAAGTCATCGTCACGCTGCCACTAGCTAATTTATCACCACATGAAGTGCTGTGGATAAGTGTGACAATGAAAAGCTCCTTATAAAACGGGCTCCTGCTCAGCTCTGAAGAGATTTAGATCTTCCCTTTGACATTTCTGATTCTAAGAACATAATACATGGGAAAGCTGCCCTGGAAGACTTGAGGGCTGATCAAAGGCCGGTGAGACGGCACTCCGGATTTTGGCCTCTCTCGGGCGAGCCAAGTTAAGTCCTTGTATTCTGCAAAGAAGGACAGACGTCTGTCTTGCTTGGAAACCCATGGGGAGACAAAACAGGGAATTTTCTCCAGCACGCAGCAAGGCAGGATCAGCTGTAGCCCCTCTGCAGGTAGATCTTCCCTCCGCTGATAGGCCTGCTTGGAGAAGGGCGCTTGAAGAGCATGGGTGAGGAAAAGGGCTTGGTGCTGCTGCACTCACTAGTTGGTGAGTCAGGGAGCCTGGATGATGGTGATGATCTTCTAAGGGGGAAGCGGAGTAAAAAGGAGGCTCCTGGGGTTTGGGTTTGCCCTGAAGGGGCAGAGAGCTGGGTTTTATTGCGCCCCACGCATTACCCAAGCAGGGCAGCATCAAGCAGAGCAGATTCCTCCAGAAAGCCCCGGGAAATCACGTTTGCTGAGCTGAAAAACAGAAAAAGAGCTGGCTTGGGTCAAAGTGAGAGACAAACGTCCATTTTTCTTTTCTTTGAAAATGAAAGAAATGGGAAGAAGCCGAACGTGTTATTTTGGGTCGGCTGAATGGTGTTTTCATGTGCTGTGCTGTTCTGGGGTTAGTTGCCCCTCTCGCTTGTCACACTTGCTTTGGATTCGGGTCTACGTGCAAAGTGCCACTTCAAAATGGCAAAGCAGAGGTTGCACTTACGAGGCCTTGCAATAAAACACTGCGGCATTTTCCCAAGAAACCATTTATTAGAGAGAGAGAGAGAGAAAAAACGCAGATACAAATGTCTTTCCCCCTGTATTTCGGGTGCAGTTGGAAGCGTTCGCCGCGTTTCCCTCACTTGGGAAGCTGCAAAATTGCGTGGTTTGGGTTTCTCCTTTCTTTTCCCTCGACGTTTTTGTTGTTTTGGCCTCCTTGCGCTTCCGCTGAGCGACTTTCTCCCGCAGGAGCAAGAGGAGGGAGGCGGATGAGCTGGAGCCCGGAGCTCCCGGCGCCGGGTGCTCCCTCCTGATAAGCGGCCAGGGGCCCAACGGCGGGAGCGCTGACTTCCCTTCTATCCCGAAGGGCATCAAATAATAAGAATGAGAAAACTTACCCAGCTGTGCATCAGCTGGAATACTTCTCTCTTCCTATTTTTTTCCCACCTTCGCAGGCCATACGGCTGCCTGATGCACTTAGCTTCCAAGGAGGATACTTAAAATGTAAGTGGGAAGCTGCGTTTAACAAATTTATGCCAAGAATTAGGCCTGCTGGAAGACCCTTCCCTCCGTTGGGATTATATTTGGGAGGAATTTGGGCTGCTCGGGCTTATCTTGATCTGTGTGCAAGTTGAATGGTGGCGTCTTGGGCAACCATTATTAGGATCTCCATCTTAATAATCATCGCTAACCTTAAATTCATAAATTAATAAAACTAATTATTAATTTAAATTAAATTAATATCTTAAATTCATCGCTAACCTTAGTCACCTTGGTGATTTGTGCCTGAGAAGATCACACAGCCTTGTGAAGTTGGGAATGCTGGATAAGGGCATAGCAGCCCATACTGTCCGGCAAAGGATGTGCTGGACTATTTGCTATTGCCATGCACAGCACTAGGATGGGCAGGCTGTAGATGTGCAAAAAAGGGATCTGTTTCTTTTGTGAAGAGTCTGCCCGTCCCACAGGGACTTAAGGATGTGCTTTGTGTCCCCAGTGGCGCGTCCTGTGGAAGGGAGGTCCCGTTACACACACGCGCCTGGCTCCGAAGAGCACTAATGCTGGAGGTCGAGGATCAAACCCACGGCTACGGGAACGCATCGACAAGGTACTGAATAGGGCTTGCAGAAAGCAGGGCTAGCAGGGGCCCTCAGGACATTGCATTTCATGATGGAAAATAATCAGAAGCCAGGCACAGGCTCATGAAACACCCATCTCGGCGATCCATTTCTCCTACGTTCTTCAGCTTTCCTTCTGCCTTTGCGGAACGCTGACTCTTGCCTAGCAATGGCACAGTTGCCATCCTTTTTTTTCCTTTACAGAATCACAATTTTCCTTCAATTAAACATTTCTGTTTAATATTTCCAAAGCAGTGAGCAGGCCTAAAACGCACACAGGTATCTGTGCTGGGCAGGGGGGAGAAAGGCCCGAGATAATGCAGTGAATGCACATGGCAAGGCTCGGGCCTTATCTCTCGCTAAAATTGGTGCGTTGCTATCAGGGCCACAACAGAACTCCACATTTTTGCAGCCTCTTCAGGCCTTTGATACAGGACGGCCAGGCTTTTTTCGCTACGATCTGATAAAAAGTCAACCGTGCCAAAGAGCAAAGAGATTAAAAACAAAACAAACAAAAACATTAAAGGGGAAGAAATCCCGTGCATGGATAATTATGGGACAGAACTTGGATTATACAAGGTGGGTGTTTTGCCTGGAAATCTCTCTTGCTTTACCCCAGCATGTTGGTGCTGCTGTGCAACCACAGGGTCTCGTGGGCATCCGTGACTCTGAATCCTTCCTTCCTTCCTGCAGGGATCCCGTGGCCTCAGATCTGGGGCAGATGTGCTGGATTTGGCTCCCGGCTTAACCTGGGCCTCGAAACAAAGGCCAGCTGTGCCAGCTTTGAGGCCAAACCCTCGTGAAAGTGGTGAGCTGGGTATGGTTTCCACTCAAAACCATAAGCGGGTCTTGATTTGCTTGAAACCTTGCCCGGGTGGTTTTTTGTTTTTTTTTTTCACAAACTTGGCCCGCGTTCTCGGTTTGTAACGAAACCTAAACCAAACACCACTGGGTTTCAGGTTTAGTTGTGAAAGTTTAACAGAGAAACCCTTTTCCTCTGGGGGAAGGGGAGTGCTGGCCTATGCACCGAGGCTGAGGTTTGTGTTAGGCTGTGGAGAATGACAGTGACATTCCCTAACTTCCACCTGGAAAGCAGCGGGAAAAGAGGCAAGGACTCAATGTGGGAGCTGCGGGATGTGCAGGCGATGCCGTGTGAAGCACCCAGGGGTTTTTCCTCCCTGTTTAGAGCACGTTGCCCCCCTGCACAGCCCGGTGGTCCGGCAGCGCCGCAGCCGCCGCGCGCCGTGCCCGGCTATAATGGCAGGAACTCATTCATTACTCAGCCCCGGCACATAGGGAAGTCTCGGCAATCAGCTTGCATGGGAAGGGTAAATTAATCATTTCCTTTTACACTTGTTGGGAGAGCAATTCATGAGAAAATTTGGAAGGGGGAAGTTTCAGCGGGGAGCGAGTCAAACCTGAGAGTTCAATTGCACATCACCGTCTACCTGCGTTGCTTCGTTTCCATCTTGCAGCCTTCCCTTTCCTCCCCACCGTGGGACTGTGTCAGGGCCAGGCCACACTAAACCAGAGCTATTCATTTTATTTGCTATTTCATTGCTTATTCTGTCTCTTTTATTTGCTATTTATTTGTTTTCTATCTCCTTTATTTGCCGATCCTAGCTGCTGCTTCAAAACTCTGGTGTCTGAAGACAGAGATATTCAGCAAAATGTTAGGAGCCAAATCCCTTCAAACGTCCTGCATCGTTTAGACCCGGTGTTTGTCACAGGAAATGACCAGCACCTTCACATGGGTGTCTTAGGAGGAAAAACTTGCTGCTTGTTTGCCTAATTGCTTAGCTGTCTCTTGCAATCTCCTTGTGCTAATTAGGTACCTTCTTAAGGCTCCTTACAGTGGCAATTTGGTTGGGTGGGGCCTGATGTGATTTAAATTAAAAGAGGGACAAGAGAAGAGGGGCTGCTGTTTCCTGAGATCACAGAGACACCTCTCAGTCACCCCAGGTGCAGATAATGCCTGTTAGTTAATGGGAAAGGCTGAAGCCCCAAGGCACCACATGCTGCTGCATTTAGGGGCTGCTCTGGAAGAGAACCACATGCTCTGGGAATTTTTGCTCCTCTGGGATTGTGTGCTTCCTGTTTATGGGAGATACCTATTTACTGTTTTCTATTAAGTAATATGAGTGTGAAATGTTCTTTTTTTCTTTTTTTTCTTTTTTTTTAAAGACATTGTCTTCTCCAGGCACTGCTACCATGTTACTGAGGCAGTGAAACTGCCATCCCTGCTGGGCACCATGTTCATTTATGGAGCTGACAAGGGGGTTTTAAATTAATCCAGCTGATTTGGGAGCTCCTTCATGTAGATCTGACCTCCAGCCTCATGCTGATGCTGAGGAGCCCTGTCTTCAGAGAGATGTGGCCCTTGAAGACGAGGTAAAGTCTCCTTCTCACTGGGGTTGTGTTGGGGTGATGGGGATGTTTATTAGAGGGTGATACCCTGTGGGGCTGCAGAGGCCAAGTCAGGTAGGACCTGCTGGATGGAGCCCGGAGCCTAGTGAGCAAGGGTCAGCCACACGAAGCCTGGGGTTGGTTTCCATTCCGGCACTGGAAATGGTTTTTGAGAACTGTCTTCCTGGGAAGCTTGTTGAGGAAGCACAGAGCAACCCTGGCTGTTGCCTTGGGGCGTTTGGCTGTAAGGTGAGGGGCTTTTTTTGCTGGTGTAACTGCATCTATGTGATGTTATCACAGGCAAAATGATGCAGCTCCACCATCGCTACCTCCTCGCAGTGCTGCGTAAATCTCTATTGGTAAAACAAACCAGCAACGCTGCAGAACAGCTGGAGCGGATCTAACGGCAAAACGCCGCCGAAAGGGGAAAATCTACTCCCTGCCCTCCCTCCCAGGAGGGAGACTGCCCAGATACAGACTGATCCTGCAGAACCTGTGTAATTCCCCCCACAAGGCCAGCGTCCCCGGGACCTCCTGGTGCAGAGCTGCCCACCCCCATGTGCAGCAAGGCCTATCTCACCTCAGCCTACCCCTGTAATCCTCCCCTTTGGGATCCGGAGGATTTTCCCCCTCCTGCCCCAGCACTCAAATTGTGGCCTTTATGTCAACATTCCCGCTGGCTCTGACTTCAAGGCTTGACTGTCATCAAGCATCAGTGTCACCAGGGAGCTTTCTGCTAGGCACGGTCCAGACAACGGCCTGGGCTGATCCCCTTAATGACTGGGCTGCAGCTGCAGAAGAGCACGGAAACCTTTGCTTGCAGAAGGCTGCAGGAATTCCTGGGTTTAACCCTCCGTGGAGCATCCAGGTTTGGAATGGGAGTGGAGAGGCTTTGTCTGGTAAATGAGATCAAGCTTATTAGGAGGGGAAATGTAAGAAAGCTAGATTTAAACTTGTTTGCAAGTTCAGTAGGTGTTAGCTGGAAGAAAAGCACGGAGACCTCCTTATGGATAACTTGCTCCAAAGAGCCCCGGGCGAACTAAAATTGAAGCCTGTGAATATAGATCCTCCTGCTACCTCCCAAAGCACAAGGGCTGCACAAAGTGGTGCTTTAAGAAAAGTTCCTCCCCTCCCACAAAGAGGTGCCATGGATAAAGCAGAAATCACGCTACGGATAAAGCAGAAATCACGCTAAGGGCATCGCTTTGTCTTCCAAGGCACTGTTTCATTTGCCTCCTCTGGGAATATACATTTCTTTGCTTATGATCTTGGCATGGCTGCACATATTTTCTGTTCTCTTCGGGGTGGTTTGCTGTGTTGTCATAGCAATGCCTCCAAACTCCTGCACTCCCCAGTTCCTTTTCAGGTTCCTGCAGGCTGCAACCAGTCCTGCATTGTGGTGATCACATCTCCCAGCAGCTTTAGCACCTCTTTTTTTATCTCCTAACTACAGGCACATTCAGCAGCACAATTCCAAAGAAATTCTGGCCCAAACAGGTTTTCAGCTTGCAGTTACAAACAATGTTACTGTATTTTTTTTTAATCTTTGTAAGGTTTTCATTGTTCTACCGATGATCTAATATTTCAGCCTTTCTGTTCATTCATCTCCCTGGCTTTTCTTGGCTGTGAATGTAACTGCCTTGGTTGCCTATCAGAGGTGAGGTGCAGCAGGCCAAGCAGAAGTGCTTGAGGACAGTTTTTCCCTAGGCCAGGACTGGAATAGCAATGTGTGGCTGGGGCCAGAGCCGCTCACATAAATGTGTCCCCTTTTCCCATCCTCTTAGTGCGGTCTCAGTAACCCAAAGCTCCAGTTTTAGAGGCTCATAGTCCTCCCTCGTGCCAAGCCCTCTCCTGAATGCCCGGTGAGGCTGAGGCTTCCAGCTCTTCGAGATGTAAAGCCTCAAGGAGTGAGGAAGGAAAATGCATTTCTCATTCCTGCCTCAACCAGGGTGCTCTGAGCATGGTGCCAGTGCAGCAGGAGGCATGAACTGGGACGACTGCCGCTCTGAGGAGCGAGCTTCCTTGCACGGTGGCTCTAGCCAGCAAGCTCCTAGTATTTTGATGCTGTTGGAATTAGTTTCCGTATGAATCAATACCTCTTTTTTTTTTTTTTTTTTGTGCAGCAGGCATGTACGTTATACAATGGAGAGCAATTTTAAAGGAACTTGTGCTTTAATGAAACTCCTCTGAATTTGACTTTTCAGTTCCAAATGACTATCAGACAGACAGGATCATTAGTTGCTGTCTTCATGAACAGTGCCTGCAATTTGGATCATTGTTGTTGTGGGTTTTTTTATAACCAAAGATTTATTTTATTTTCTGAAAGTAAGGATATTTATCTTTGAATCCTCCAACAGTTTTGGAATGCAGCCTCCACACAGACTTTAATAGCAAAACCCACTTCTTCTGACTCAGGGACCATTTTGATGAAGTGTCTAAAGAAGCAAAAAGCAGCAACAAAAAAAGCTTTGCACAGATGCTCCTCTGTGACTAAGAGAACGTCCACCCAAAGCAGAGAGAGTATAAGTACGTTTGTCATATGTGGGTGTATTTTTCCCATACATTCATTTTTAAAGCTATGTGGTACAGCACTATAAAATTATAGTTTTACGAATAAGCATTATTTGACCGTCACTGGGCTGAGCTGCTGACTCACTCTGTGACCTCCGTGCAAGTCATTTGATTTTCTTGTTCCTTAGTAAACCTAGCTGGGAAATGGGCTAAAATGAGAGAGAAAGGCGGGGGGCAAGGGGGGAGAAGACATTCCTGACAATAGTTTCCCTTCCAAATCTTTGTGTTGACGGGAAACAGTGCTGGAAATAAGAGCTACACAGGTGTCACCTTGATGCCAGTGCCCCAGCTCTGTAGGAACTGTGGGTGGCCAGTGGCTCTGAAACATCCACTTTAAATACTGACCCATTCTAAAACATCAGAGGAGAAGACTTGCCGCCAGCTGCAATGATATAACAGTGTCCCTTTGTCACTGTGGGGTGAGCGGGGTCTTTTTTGCAATATAAATGTACCTGGAAATACCGGTTCTATAATACAGACCCTTACAGGTTTCAGCATGTCTCTAGACATCTCTGCCTTCATGGTTTTCTTTTTGACACCAGCTCTTTTTGATGGCTGTGTAATTGTACGCAAACACCTGGTTATGAAAATGGTCTCATTACATCTGGAAAGCAGTATAGCTGTGCAGTATTTCCAGGACACATGCTATTAATTCTCTGAACCCACGCAGTATCACCAACACTTTGGACCTTTCCTCAGTCTTCAAAAATTGTGGGGCAAATACCAAAGAACCAGCTTGTTCCTGTTTTAAGAGCATTGTGCCGAACAAATTTCAATGCCTTTTCTGGCTTTTTCTTTAAGGTATCCCTATGTTATATTTTCAAAATGGTGGGTTTTTTTGTTTCTTTTTATTTAAAAAAAAAAAAAAAAAAAAGGAGGATAGAAAGGAGGAGAAAAGTAACTTTAATGATCCTGGACTGTATGCAGTCTCTGGGAGCTGGGCTAAAGGGTGACGTTTGGAAAGTCTTGTCTGTTCTGTCTTGGCATTACGTGCTTCCAGTTCACTTTTGCTGTTCACTTTTTGTATTCACCAACTTTTTCCTTCAGTTTCTGTCTATGGGGCCTTGATGTATTTTGAGGAGGAGGACCACCCAGAAGTTATCTCAAAAGAAATATTACTAACTTTATTTTGGCTCCTTCTTTCTAGTTACTGGTAATGCAAATCTCTCCGTCCGGCCTCCAACTAGTGTAATTGCCATCTAGGAAGAGCAATGGCAAGTTTTCCATGTATAGTTTGACTTCTTAGGTGTCAACTCTGAAGCATCTATACCATACCTTGAAGGCACATGCTTTCTTGAGGGCTGACTCGCCACTGACAAGCCAAAGTACTGGATTTCAGTGCCATTCCTGAAGAAATAAGTGCCTTTCTTGGTCTGCATTGCCCATCCACCAGATGCTGGCATTTCTGCAGCAGGGTTGGGAGCCCAGTGTGTGTTACTGTGTTCAGAGCTGTTTCTCCAGCTGGCAATATTGGATGGGGCAGTGCTAGTGTACAGGATGAGCTTTGCTGTGAGCCGGATGGTCTTGCTGGCCTATGATGCTGTTGGTGTCCTGGTCCTTATCCATTTCCTCGAGTGTGTGGGATAAGAGAAGGAGCCAGCATTGGGATGGGCAAGACCTGCAGAAGGCTGTATGTGACAGACAAGCCTGAGGAGCAATGGCGTTTGTGAGAGGATCCCGAAATCCTCCCCAGGAGGGTGACTCCTCTCCCCTCCACGCGCGTAAGCTGCTGCAGCTGAGTCACCATCCCTGCAGTTTGGGAGGGCTGGGATCACATACACCAACAATCAACGAACGAGAAATGTACTGAATAAGAGCCTCCTCCATTTCATTTTCGTTATGGAGGTTCCTGATTCATCGCTCAAGCAGGGCTGGCTCCCACCCAGGAAGCAAAGGGCATGATACAGGTTGTCTGCAGGCAGTGGCTATGGAAGATAAGGAATATTCCTGCTCGGTAGCTTATAGAGAAAATCTTCCCCTATGTACTCTGCCCAAATTGCTTGGGTAGAATGGCAAAGGGGAAACGAATCATTTGTGTTGGTTTTGGATTATTGTGCTTTGGATTATTGGAGGTGGCTGTGACCAGGTGGGTGTCCATCCCTGCAATGGTTGTTCTGGGTATAGCTGCTATAGGGAGGTTTGGCTCCCTGTGCATCTTTATCCCATGTCCTGGTATCCACAACCCTACCCCGACAGCTTCTGCAATTTACTTTCTAGCTATTACAAATTTTGGCTTCGTCTCAGGTATTTACCTAGACAAACAGGGCTGTTATTTTTCCAGACCAGTTAATGAACAGGTGTCGCTGCTGGGTATGTTTAAGGGATTGTTGTTCCTTTACCTACATGAGCAACAGGAAGAGGGGGAGGAAAAAAGTTTGATCTTTATATA